CAACAGTGGGAGGGCTTCTGGTGTCCTGGCCCCGCTGGAGGACCTCCTGGTGGCCCCTGGTATTTCTGGCCACTGTGTGACACAGAGTGTTGAACTGGATGGGCCTTTGGCCTGATCCAACATTGGCGTCTCTTATGTTTTTATGTAACCTGCTCTTTCCCAGGCATCATCTTGTAAACCTCGATCATGACACCCCTCAGCCGTCGTTTCTCCAAGCTAAGGAGCCCCAAGCGCTTTAACCTGTCTTCATAGGGAAAGCGTTCCAACCCTTCATTTGTTTTTAAATGCTGCAGCATTCTGGAAACTCCCCCTCCGGCCTCCACCCACTAGGCTGGACTCCCTCTCTGGTCTGGAATAGATTCCAAATGGGTCAGAGACTTGAGTTCCATTGGGGGTGCGAGTCCGACAGGGCGGGGGGGTGGGGACTGGCTTAACAGCAGGAGTCAGCAGTTGGCCATTCATCCAGAGGAACAGTCTGCCCTTCGTTTATTTATTTATAGTCAAATTTATACCCCGCCCTCCCTGCAAAGCAGGCTCAGGGCGGCTTCCAACAGCAAATACAACAGAATACAGAATAAAAGCATAAATAATACAGAATTAAAACACACCATTTAGATGAATACATTACAAAATTACAGAGTACTGGCTGCAGTTAAAAATCAAACGAATGGGATGCTTTCAAATGAAAGTGCTTCAATGTTATTCCACGTAAAGTGTTTAGATGTTATTCTGCTCGTTCTTGAGGTAGCTGCTCGATGTCAACATTACGGGCCGTGCACCAAGCGGCGAACTAGGGCGGCCCCTAATTGTATGCCTGGCGGAAGAGCTCCGTCTTGCAGGCCCTGCGGAACTGTGAGAGGTCCCACTGGGACCTGATCCCCTCCGGGAGCTCGTTCCACCAGGTAGGGGCCGCCACTGAAAAGGCCCCGGCCCTTGTAGCAGCTAGCCTGGCCTCCCTCGGGCCAGGGAGGGCCAACCGATTTTGAGACCCAGACCGTGGTGCTCTCTGGGGTATATATGCCCTTTGGTTTTAATAATCCTCGAAAGCGTCTGTTGCCTCTACGGAGAAAGGCCCGCTGAATTTCAGATCCTGAAGGGAGTAGGCGGCCAACAGATTTCATTGTTTGCTTTTAAGGGCATTGACCCTTAACTTGATGAAAAACCAGCTGTGGTCTTCAGCAGCAAAAAAAACCTCGGTGCCTTTTAACTCTCTGATGCCAGGATGTGTTCTCTTGGAGGCTGCTCTGTTCTCCACAACGGGGCCGAGGGGCTTGGAAGCGTGTGCAGCTATCCGAGGGAACCCGCTCCTAAATGGCCAGGATCCGTAAGGGTGAACAAAATAAGTAAAAATAGAGTAGTACATAAAAATACATAAGGCCAACATTTTAAAAATCTCAATTTAGGACTGCCTTAGTCATATGTTGGTCCTAAATAAAACCGTCTTCAGCTGCCTCCTAAAAGCTGGGAGTGACACACCTCTTTGAGGAAGTTGTTCTGTAATCGGAGGGGGCTGCCACTGAAAAGGCCCTGTTTCAACCAGACAAGGATCTTTAATTGACAGACAGTCAGGAAGGCCTCTCCAGGTGATCTTAGTTCCTGAGCAGGAACGTAAGGGAGAACAGGGCCGGCTCCAGCTTATTTTGCACCCTAGGTGAGGATCCCTTATCCCCCCCCCCCCCCCCCCCCCCCCCCCCCCCCCCCAAAATAAATGCATTTTAGGAAGAATGAAAAACCAAATAATCAAGAAACTCCCAGAGTACGGGGCTGGGTGCAGTTTGGTGCCCCTAAGGGCCGTCCTGCTCTAGGCAATCGCCTAGTGAGTGAGCCAGCCCTGAGGGGGAAGATGGGTCCTTCGGATACCCCAATCGCAAGCCACGTGGGACCTTTAAAGATCAAAACCGACACCGTGAATCAGCTCAGAAAGAGGTCAGTTCCCAGTGGAATTGCTGCAACATCGGTATTGTGTGCTTGCGATAGGCAGCCCGAACCAGAAGTCTGGTGCCTTTAGTGTTACTGCTTCTGCAGTTGGCATTGAAACATGGGGGTTTTTTTGGGTCCTTTACTAATGCTCCGTTTGGTACATTTTCTGTCCACTTCTACAGATACAAACAGTCCAGCAGCGAAAGAAGGGAAACTTATGGAAAACGGGGCTCTGGTCAGCGACGGCTCCCGGTCCGAAATGATGAGGTGCTCAAGGTCTTGGCTGGGGGGAGGGGGGCTCCTATTTTGTGCCAGGCGGCTTCATGTTTAAGAGGTTCTGCAGAGGAGGAACGTGGCTAAACCCCATCTTGAATGCGTGCTCCTGCAAAGCGGTTGGTGCTGATCCCAGGCAGGGGAGGCCAAGGGCTGTGCCACCGGGGAGGTGCTCAGTATTTAAGCCGGTGGCTCCGTGCTGTAGACGCCAGCAACAGCAGAGGGCTTCTTGCCACTTGACACCCATGTCCTCTTCCTTACCAGTGGGGCTGTGAGTAAATCAAGGAATGGGGGGAAGATGTGGCAAGGGGTAGGGGCTGTGGCTCAGTGGAAGAGCCTCTGCTTGGCATGCAGAAGGTCCCAGGTTCAATCCCTGGTGTCATCTCCAGTTAAAAAGGACCAGGCAGGAGGGGATGGGAAAGATCTCTACACCTAAGACCCTGGAGAGGTGTCAAGAGGGGCTGTGGCTCAGTGACAGAGCCTCTGCTTGGCATGCAGAAGGTCCCAGGTTCAATCCCTGGTGTCATCTCCAGTTAAAAAGGACCAGGCAGGAGGGGATGGGAAAGATCTCTACACCTAAGACCCTGGAGAGGTGTCAAGAGGGGCTGTGGCTCAGTGACAGAGCCTCTGCTTGGCATGCAGAAGGTCCCAGGTTCAATCCCTGGTGTCATCTCCAGTTAAAAAGGACCAGGCAGGAGGGGATGGGAAAGATCTCTACACCTAAGACCCTGGAGAGGTGTCAAGAGGGGCTGTGGCTCAGTGACAGAGCCTCTGCTTGGCATGCAGAAGGTCCCAGGTTCAATCCCTGGTGTCATCTCCAGTTAAAAAGGACCAGGCAGGAGGGGATGGGAAAGATCTCTACACCTAAGACCCTGGAGAGGTGTCAAGAGGGGCTGTGGCTCAGTGACAGAGCCTCTGCTTGGCATGCAGAAGGTCCCAGGTTCAATCCCCGGCATCTCCAGTTAAAAAGCCAGGCAGTAGGTGAGGGGAAGGACCTCAGCCTCAGACCCTGGAGAGCTGTAAAGAGGGGCTGTGGCTCAGTGGAAGAGCCTCTGCTTGGCATGCAGAAGGTCCCAGGTTCAGTCCCCGGCACCTCCAGTTAGGGAGAGCAGGTAGTAGGTGATATGAAAGAACTCGTGCCGGTACCTGCAAGGAAGAAAATCTAGTGGTTGAAACAGAATTCAGGCAGCAAGAAAGGATGGGCCGTAGTGGAAAGGAGAAGGCTGGATTTCCGCCGCAGGCTGGACCTGCATGCTGAGCAGTGAGAACAGCGGTTGTCTCTTCCAGCCGGCAGCTGAGCAACTCCTCCACGTACAGCGGAGACGCCGGGAAGTCCGCGGGGCAGCAGAACAGCACGGCTGAGCTCCAGAAGGTCTCTCCAGAAAAGAGCGCCTGGAAGCTGACAGAAGCCGACACTGCCCAAACTGGGAAGGTGAGGGGGGCGCCCCAGCCGATCTCAGCGCCCAAAATCTTTGTTCGGCCAGAAGTCCGAGGCCTTGAATGCGAAAGAGGGAAGAGCTTTTGATAGGTTTGAAATTTACATGCGTGAGTTGAAACGCAGAACTACAGTGCTGGGTTTGACTTGGGCAGGGGTCCCAATAAGTGTTCCCTCTCAGCTGAGTCAGTGCAAGCTAGCCTCCAGCTCACAGATTTCTGTCTTTGCTCAGGAAGGATGTGGCTCCAGAGCAAACTGATTTATGCAGCGGCCAAATTGCTCGCTCACAACTCTAATGCCAGGAGCTCAGAAAGGAGAATTTTTGCTCACAGGACTCCACAGCTTAGAGGGCGCATTGGTCCCGACGCTGATGACAGCCTTGGTGTTTGGGGGAGGGGGACATCGGGGGGACGCTGGACGAGTTCCCTCGTTGGGCACATTTTTATTAATTTAATTTAATTTGCTTTGTGCACGCCCCGTCTTTCTCCCCAGCGGGTTTGTGTCATTCTCCTTCCCTGCGTGTTGCCCTCACAACTTCCCAGTGAGGTAGGCTAGGCGGAAGCTAACTGGATGCGTGACCTTGGGCCAGCTGCTCTTCCTCAGCCCTGGCCTACCTGGTAGGGTTGTTGTGAGGACGAAATGGAGGAAACGAGAATGATGTAAGCCACTTCGGAGGAGGGGATATAAATGGATTGCATCGGTACGTTGGCTCCCAGTGGCCAAAGCAGTGGAGGAGTAAATATCCTGATGTCAATCCAGCTTCTTGTGGTGGATTGCAATTGCTCTGCTCCTGCAGCAGTGGGACAGGCTGGGGGTGGGGGGTGGGCAGGGAGCACGGACTCTAATCTGGGAGAACCGGGTTTGTGTCCCTGTCAGAACCCACAGCCCACAACAAAGTACACGCATTCAGGAACAGTTATACTTTTATTGCAGAGCTATAGATGCAGTAACATAGGCACTGTTAAGAATGGCGGCGGCCCCATGGGCATAATTGGGTATAGGGTATTCGTATGCACCCCCCACACACACAGTACTGGCCAATTAGGCACCCTCCTGTGCACGGGATAAAGCTTGGAGACCGTTAGGTAGCTGAAGCTGAGAACGAACACTCTCCCACGGCACCTAGGGAAAACCCAGACACCACAACACCCTCCTGCACATCTGTATAGATAAGCGTTTAGGCGCACAGCAGAGACAGCACAGAAAGGAATGCAGTAGCAATTCACCTGAAAGGAAAGCAATAGCAGCTACCCAGACACAGACCAACCTCCCCAACCTCCATGGCAGCATAACTGACAGTCCCCACTCCTCCACATGCAGCGGCTGGCGTGACCTTGGGTCAGTCACAAGCAACGCTCCCTCTAAGCTGTGGAGTCTCGTGAGCAAAAATTCTACGTTGTGAAGTACTACTGGCATTAAAGTTGTGAGCTATGAGCGATTTGGCCACTGCATAAATCAATTTGCTCTGGAGCCACATCCTTCCTGAGCGAAGACAAAAGTCTGTGAGCCGGAGGCTAAAAAACTGTGAGCCAGCTCGCACTCACTCAGCTTAGAGGGAACACTGGTCACAAGTTCTCTCAGAGCTGTTCTCTCAAGGGCAGTCCTCGGGAGAGCTCTCTCAGCCCCACCGACCTCAATGGGTGTCTGTCGTGGGGAGGGGAAGGGAAAGGAGTTTGTAAGCCGCTCTGGGACTCCTTCGGGTAGTGAAGGATGAGGTATGAATCCAATCTCTTCTTCTTCTAAGTTTTGGAAGGGGGAAGCTGTTCCGAAGGTCTGCTGTCAGCTAGGCCTCTAGCTGCCATGGAGTGCGGGGGGGGGGGCTCTGGAATTTTAGGTTTTCTTTCTCTCTGCCTTCAGTGTTTCAGAGCCAGTTTGGTGTCGTGGTTGAGTGTGCAGACTCTAATCTGGGAGAACCGGGTTTGATTTCTCACTCCTCCACTTGCACCTGGCTGGATGACCTTGGGCCTGTCAGAGTCCTGTCAGAGCTGTTCTTTAAAAAGAGCCAGTTTCTGTCAGAGCTCTGTCAGTCCCACCTACCTCACAGGGTGTCTGTTGTGGTGAGGGGAAGGGAAAGGAGTTTATTAGCCGCTCTAAGACTCCTTTGGGTAGTGAAGGGCCATGGGGTATAAATCCAATCTCTTCTTCTTCATCATCTCTGTAACATGAGCATGTGGCCTTGTTGTCTAGCACCAGCTTTCTCCTGGGAAACTGGACCTGTTCGCTTTGGCGGGCTTCTACCTGTTCCGTGATTGGCTCCAGGCCGCCGGGGACCCTCTTGAATTGTGTATATCTGCTTGCTTCGCGCGCTCATTGCCAGTTCTAACACGAGATGTGTAAAGACAATCTGCATACTTCAATGTCTCAATAAACTTTACTTTGCAAGAACGTTGTTTGGAACTGACTGCTGCAGGAGTCCGACATCTGCCCTCGAGGGACCGACGCCTTCTGTGTTGTGCCTCTCCCCCTAGGTGCAGGTGGCCATCTACTGGGAGTACATGAAAGCCATCGGCCTCTTCATCTCCTTCCTGAGCATCTTCCTCTTCATGTGCAACCACGTGGCCTCCCTGGCCTCCAACTACTGGCTCAGCCTGTGGACGGACGACCCCGTGATCAACGGCACTCAGCGGCACACGGACGTCCGGCTGGGGGTCTACGGGGCCCTGGGGATGTCTCAAGGTTGGCTTGGAATCTTCTCTCAGGGGACAGCACCGGGTGGCACTTAGAGTGCCGGACTAGGGTCGGGGAGGAACCGGGTTCGAATTCCCCACTCTGGGATGGTAGCTCGCTGGGTGGCCTCGGGCCAGTCACACACACACGCTCAGCCTCACCTGCCCCACAGGGTGGCTGTGAGGGTGAAATAGAGAATAGTGTGGCGACTGCAGTGTTCCCTCGAAGCTGCGTGCGTGAGCGGCCGCTCATTCACACAGGAAGATCCGCTGAGCAGCAGACTGGAGCCGCGCAGGGCAGTTATCGTCTGCTCCGGATGTGAGCTGCTCGGCCGGGGGGGGGGGGGGCACATTAGAAGGAACACTGGCTGCAAGCAGACCCGTAAGACAGGATTTTGTAGCTTGTGGGGCAGTCTTTTTTCTGGTGGGATTGAAGTTCTCAGTGCAGAAAGAAAAGCCAGAATTCTGAGGATTACAACTCGGCTACTCTTCTCTCTCTCTCTGACTCTTCTCAAGCTGTCTGTTCTACATCGGCGTCCTTACGCTAGCCATCACCCTTCGCCTATTAACCGTTTAGCCAAAAGGAAGCTGTTACCAGGAGAGAGCTCTAAATTGCAAGCTGTCAGCAAGCCGGCAGGTGGGGGTGATGACTTCTAGAGTCAAGAAAGCTCTTAGGTAGAAAAAGTCTCTTCAAGGAGACCAGTTTCGTGACACGGAGTTAGAAGGGGAACCCAGAGGTCACCTACTCCAACCCCCTGGCTCAGTGCGGGGATGAGTCAGCTACAAGCACCCCACTCTGCTTAAAGGAGCACACACCTTTAAAAATGTTTTAAAATGACTTAAATAAAAAGCATTTACAGGAGAAAGTCTTGTGGGGCTGTGACTTTAAGAAAGGGGGTGGAGCCCCCCAAAGCCCCACCGTAGCTATGGGCCTGGTTGCAAACCATTTGGGGACCCAACTGGGGAGAAAGGTGTGGGGCATAATGAAGTAAGTAAACCTGAGAACGTTGATTTGTTTCCTCCTGTGAAACTCCGAGTGAGGCTGGATTGAAACGTGAGGCTGGCTGCGCCGAGAGCACTTGTCGGCCTTTGCCAGCCAGAGAGCGTGTTGTTTCATCCGGGTTGCTTCCTGACAAAGCAGCTACATCGGGCGTGGAAGGGTTAGAGTCAGGCGTGGCACGCCTCTGCTTCGCACAGGTGGCAACCAAAGGTCGAGTCCCACAGCCAGTTGTATTTCCCTCAGACCCTGCAAGCCGTGAAGCGTCTCTCTCTGTATTTAAACATTCCTGAATCCTGCAGGGTGGAGACTGGAAATTTTGCGAGGAAAGGGGAGGAATGAGGAGCTATGTATTCTTGAAAAATTTTAGTCCAGCGGCACCTTTCAGACCAACAAAGTTTAATTCTGGGCAGGGGTCATTTCGTAGAAAAGGAGGTGCAGGAGCTCATTAGCATAATTCATCGGCATGACTTATTTGCATATGCCACACCCCCTGATATCACCGGAAGTATTTCAGAAGGCTCCGCTGGACTGTTTTGGATTGCTAGCTATTTGGGGGGGGGGAGAACGTGCAGATCTGTCCTCGCAGAGGAGGGAGAGCTTGTACCTGAATAAAACTTGGTCTTAAAGCAGGAGCTCATTAGCACAACCCATTAGCATATGCCCCACACCCCCTGACATCACCGGAAGTGTGTCAGAAGGCAACATCCGCTGCTCAGGCTCCACTGGACTGTTTTGGATTGCTAGCTATTGGGGGGGGGGGGGGAGGGGGG